CCCTTTGTCACAACGGCAACGGCGAAAATTGCATTCAGATGCTGAATCACTTTTAGAAACGAAAACACTGCAGACCCCACATTCGTCTCCCTTTATAGATGACGCTTTCCATGTTTTTGACTTCTTGAGCATTTATTTTTTATTTTACCGTGTGCCACGCACTGGCCTCAAATGGATAGAGGTGTAGTACCATGTCCACTTGGTATTCCCTGCGCTGTTTTAGTACTAGACTGTGGTAGTGAAGGCGTAATATTAGAGCAGCCGAGATATACACGGATCTTTATAATCGATATGCGAGATGGGGTTGATGTCCCTGTGTCATTGGTTACTCTGGCTGAAGCCCTTCTAACTACAGAATATGGTACTACTTTTATAAATTTTATACCATTTTGCAGCTGAGCAGAATTTTCTTCTCTTCCTGAAACAGTGTTCAATCACATGCCGGCATAGCACTTCCCAAATATAAGCTGTTCACTGGTTGACCATAACTATCAGCAGGAAACGGAACGAAGTTTGGTTCGTCGCTCTTTTTTGAAGGTGACCCTAGTGAACGGTTTACAATTTAACATTTGTGAGAAACTGTCCTGATTGCCTGTACAATAATTGAACAATTTAAACTTTTGAAAAAGTATTAATTTATGATGCTTCAGGATTGAAGTGACATATAACCCTTAAGTCAACCTATCAAACCAAGGGCCACAAAGGAAAGCACACAGGAAATCGCCTTGCCATATATAAAGGATATCTCAGAAATCACTACAAGACTCTTCAAACATTTAGGAATTGACGTCGCACACAAACCAAGAAGTCACTTCACTCAATTCTATGTCAACCAAAAGACTCAACAGCGAAAGAGGATAAAACCAATATGTGGTGATTGACAATTTCTATCTCTGTATTGTTTAAAATACTTACTGTTGACTGTTGATATGTTTCATATATGAATTGCATTAGAATTCCGCTAAATACAAATTCCTGATTGCTGCCCTCTCTGGGTTTTGATTAGATTCCTATAATTCCGTCATCCCGGTATATTAATATTTCAAGTACAATAAATTACTACAAATTGACGTCGCGATGGAGCTAAGTAACCTGGGAAAATTTCCTCTTAATGGTTCTCCGCGGGAGATTGCTGATTATTTGGAATGCTTTGATGCGTGGTGCATTTCCAAGATTGTTCGGGATGATAAAATACCTGCTCATTTCATCACTACTATTGGGCTTGATGCATATAGCCTGGTGAAGAATCTGGCATTTCCAGATAAACCCATTTCTATGTCATATGACAAGATCCGTGAGCTTCTGACAAATCACTTTCACGTGACTACATTTGAGACCAGAGATAGGGCTCACTTCAACAAACTGGTACGTTCTCCCAACCAGAAGATTAGAGACTTCATTCTTCAACTTCAAATTCAAGCCTCAAAATGTAACTTTGGAGATCAGCTACATACTCAACTACGTGATCGTCTAATTGCTGGAATCAACATTCCTAAATTAGAGAAGGAGTTAATTCAGATTCTTTCTTGTACTTTTCAAACTGCTAAAGATGTATGTATTACATATGAAGATGTCCATAATGAATACTCTGCTCCCACTACGTCAGTATCTGATGTCATGCTGTCCAAAGTCGAAAATACAAGTGTTCATGGAAAGAAATGCAAACTGCCGTCCACAGGTAATAGAATGCAGCGAGAGATCAAAAACATTAAACCGTGTTTATCCTGTGGAAAGTTACATCTACGAAGCACTTGCCGTTTTCGGAGTGCTAAGTGTCACAAATGTGGTAAAGTTGGACACATCAAGACGGTTTGCAGAAGTTCGAATACATATGTTGCTCAACATTCTTATAATTCTCCCAAGCTGTCTAGCAAAATGGAGTCAATGTGTCTTTCAACTTTTCAAAATACTCAGGCTAATCCAACGAAAACCTCCACTGCAAGTTCAGCAACGCAAGTTTCAACTGTATTCAAAAATGAGGTAGCTAAGTTGAAATGTGAACTGTCAAAACACGAAAAGACCTGAATAAGATGAGAGAGCAACTGATTAAAATTGAGGAATTACTGTATATGCATAGACTACGTCTGGTGAATGCAGAGCATACAAGTACCCGTGAAAGTCCTGCAAAACTTTTCAAATCTCGAATTCTCAAGAAGCATCTGATGTCCACGACTTCTAATGTACATTATTACAAAGATAATAACTATAGACCTTCTGTTGGAATTATACTGCAAAAAATGGGAAATCGAGTGGTGAAGATATTAGACATCAAAGATCACTCAGTTCATAACGGACACCTGGACAAAGTGACAATAAATGGAGTAGGTCGTTCCAATTATAATATTATTGATTCCGCTAATAATCCTGATTTTGTAGATAATTCAGAAATAGGTCCAGATAATACTGATGAAAATAATATCACAGAATCAGTTAGGTCGCAGCTACTTGCAAGCAAACCGAGACATCGTTATAAATACGCGAGGAGATATTCGAGGTGTGGTGGATGTGGTGATTGACAATTTCTATCTCTGTATTGTTTAAAATACTTACTGTTGACTGTTGATATGTTTCATATATGAATTGCATTAGAATTCCGCTAAATACAAATTCCTGATTGCTGCCCTCTCTGGGTTTTGATTAGATTCCTATAATTCCGTCATCCCGGTATATTAATATTTCAAGTACAATAAATTACTACACAATATCATTTACAGAATAAATTGTAGCAACTGCGAAAAACACTACATTGGCCAAAGTGGACGTCCCTGCTCTTCATCTTCGTATCCACGAACATAAGCCAGCCGTCAAAATACATGATACCCACCCCTCATATCACTAGGTACAGACAACCATGGACATCGATTCGACTGGTGCAACCAGCGTTCAACTATTAGGCAGAGGAAACAACAAGCATGCTAGAGAATTTTTAGAAGCCTGGTATTCCAGTGAATCATCAATCAATAGACACATAGAGATAGACAAAATTTATCAACCGATAAGAAAGAAACTTTACACACAAAGGGTCAAAGTTCAAGTCAAAGAAACAATCAGTTCTAATACAAGTAACCTAGGTGTGAAAACACACAAAAACAACCAATCACGTCCAAGGTGACCAGGAGAGATGATTAATAAACTCGTGGAGAAATCTAAAATCTCACTTCGAATAGAAGTATGCGCTGAAGATGTCGCCTAGTAGGGCGATAAAAGCTTCGCAAATTAACCATCCAGCTCATAGAACACAACTCCATCAAAATCATCCACCTGAGCTACAAATCTTTTCTATCATACAGATAGATGTGTCCGACACAGAGATCGATGCGGTTCCCTAGCAGCTGTTCAACACCTGACTTTTTCTCGAAATGGCTCCCGACCGCAGGAACAATGTAGAGTACCTTTGGTAGAGACAGCTCCTGGCTAAGCGCTATATTGTCTGTCATTTTTGAAGTTAGCTGGAGGGTCATGAATTCACTCATATCTAAGATTAAAGGCCAGTAAAATGCCCTTTTAACACCATATCAAACAGATATTCATCAAGGGAGATATGCCATTTAGGCTTCATTTTGCAGTTTGCTCCAAATATTTGCCGCCTATGTGGAGCCAGTATCATTGTTCGTCCATCTAAAATGACAGCACCGATCTTGTGACACCAAAATAAGACGGTCATCTTCAACATGAGCTGCCAACAACACCCCTAGAATTTAAATTTTGATTTGTAGGGACTGTGATGGCTACTCGAGTTGACGTCGGTTAGTGAACCACTGGGAGTGTTGGACAGCTACTCCATCCCTTCATTTTGTGGCCCTTCAGTAGGACGCACACACCAGAGTTCGAACGCAGGACCTCCTGGCTACAAGGTGTTGTCGTGGGCTATTTAGCCACTCGGATTTGACCAATGGCTCATGAATTCCTGCTTTTGTCAATTCATGATGTAACGCGACCACCAGCAAATGTCACTGGTGAGGATTTTCTTCACACTCGAAAAACACTCCTGTTCAACTGTCCAGGACTCCCAGGTTTTCTAGCGGCTCTCTAACCAATGCCAGCTAATGATGAAAACCCTGTAGCCCTGAAATTACTTAAGAAATCGTAAGGCGACCATTATTGGTAACGCTTCGTATACGCTCTTCGTCTTAATGTGATGAAGAGTTGCACTCGTGACGTCATCAGCACGTTATACCACTTATGTCACCCATGAGTCCATCCCATCAGTAGTCAGTTTCGCTAGCTGACACAATTAAGGCACTTGGCTTGTACACGCACAGCCTGCTAAAAGTGAAAAGTATTGAGAAATACCAGGAGCCCTCCTCATATTTTCTTGCCTCAGATGCTGGCTCCAACTGTATCCACACATATCTGTAAAGGCCCCTCCGAAAATCCCATGGATGAAGCTGATTTGCAAACTTAGATAAGTTTATTTTATATAACACACAGGAATGCAGTATTAACAGATGTGCGTCGGTGACACAGTGGTTAGGACTCTCGCCGATCATGCACATGGTCCGGGGCTCGAGCCCGCACCGGCGCACATCTGATATCTATGGTTGGCCTGCAAAATTTGGGCTACCGATATCCATGCTGAAAATTCCATACTTGTACCGAAAATACAATGTGGAATCAAGCTGTAAATAAAAAAAATAAAAATTCAATTAACTAGTATTGATGGAAATGTCGCAAATAGAACATAGGTAATTGAACGGGATCGGCCATTCTACCATAGGATACCTTCTTGATGAGATTCTATAAATTCATTCAGTCATTTTCTCCCGCTTCCAAAGACTTAGGATGATTTTTCTAGAAGTGATTTACTCGTCAAATTTGACTGAAATACATAAACTAGATAACTGCAGCGGGTTTATTACATGAATTATTCCTGTGACATATTCATTGTCATTTTAAATTCCTTTGTCATAAAGCTGCACTTAAAAGTATGTATTTGCTACTTCATCGTTTTTGGAAGCAAATGGTCTTTAAGATTTCCTTGTACAATTGAATTGGTTGTTCAAGGTGTAGCCTTGAAGATTCAGTTAATAAAGCGGTAGTTCGAAAGTCGGTTCGTCCACGATGCAAAACGAAGCTGGAGAATTCGTTGATATTTACATCCCGAGACGCTGTGCTGTCACCAACAGACTAATTGGTGCGAAAGATCACGCTTCAATCCAAATACAGTTTGTTGATTTGGATCCTACAACCGGGAGAATGACCACAGGTATTAAGTCCTACGACATATCGGGGTCTATACGTTCTATGGTAAGGTAAAATTTGTTTTGATCGCCACTTAGGGTGAAGTCGATGATTGCATTAATAGACTGGCAGTTAGAGACGGCATGCTACCACCGTGAGTTATTTGAAAATCTAATAACACATTCACCTTGTAGAAACTTCTGCGAAAGGACTTACTTGTAACGTAATGGATAATACTTTCGAATAAATTATCTTTCTAATGGATCAGGCAGTTTTTGTGAGTATCACTGAATTTTCGGGTTGGATAAGTTGTCAAAATTGCGATAGTTTGCGCTATGTCTTAGTGTAGTGAATGGAACTTAGTAGACTATGACAGGGTGTTAAGATATCGTCAATAACCTCAGTCCAACTCTTCTCATGAATACAAAGGGACAAAAGCGGCCATCTAGTGCTGCATTTGGTAAAAACTTGGACATACAGTATCTGTTAAGCTGTTAATCCGTGCAGCCAAGTAGTTCATTTTGATACGCGTTAGTAACTAAAACCTTACAAGATGTTCCGTTTACACCAAACTAAGTGACGTTTGCGGGGAACAGCTGTTAGTATAGTGTAGGACAATAGACGTGGCTTCCTGGAACTAGTTGAATTCCTACACGAGAATCACCGTTGTAACGACTCGCGTCGGTCTGTGAGTCCAACGTTTTTATGTTAAACAGTCAAGTGAAGTAATTCTGTATCTGACGAAGCATGACCATGTCGTATGCAATTGTCAGTGTCTAGGTGAAGTTGTCCTGTCGATTTTCTAGTTAATAAATAAAATGCAAAGAAATATTCACCAGATTCACTAGGGCAGAACAGCATGTGGGTTTTGAGCATTTAAAAAAATTACCTCGATATTTGTTGAACATATTGTACTGTGGAGATTTGATGCGTTTGTATAACTTGCGATGTAGGTGTGGACGTTGTAACGCTACATCGTGCTCTACGTTCACTTAGGTGATAATTGGATTGGTACCCTGCTTCGTCACAGCGGTTAGAAACATGGTCAAGTTAGTTTGACAAAACGACAGAACTGTAACACAGAATATAGCTGTATATCACTCGAATATATACAGTCAGATTCATCTGATTGTAGATATCGACTTCCGAAATGCTTTTAAGCCCAAATGCCTTGCAATCCAGAGGTATTAACCTACAAAGTTCGCTAACATGTTGCATATTAATTATTATGAACATCAGAGTTTTTAGAAAACCGTAGGTGATTCCATTTTCCCCTAGAATTGTTGACGTTAGAAAGCAAGTTAATAGACTGTTTTCAATAAAATGTAAAATGCTAATGATTATATGAGGGACAAGTGTGAATTTCTTAATTTTCTATAAGTAATAGGCCTGTATATTGATATCCGTACATTCATTGTTTGACATAGCTTGAAAATTCGTAGGTTACTGAGCTCCTATGCATTCTAAACTAAATGATATATATATTACTAAGCTTTCGTTATCCTTTGATTTTGACAAGTTGCAGGTTAAGCTAAAGGACATCTGCATTAATCTGTACTTCAGTTTACCGTATTTTTGTGGTGTCTTAAGTCTGCATTCCCAAGAACTGTATGATTATAGAGGCAAGTCGACATAAATCATATCTCTTCTTAGGTTCACATCAAGACTTAACGGTCAGGTAGTGATTGTAAATGCTCAATAAAATGACGGTATAGGCGAGTTGTTTGCTTGACCTAACTAACCCTGAACACATTTTCAAGGTACCAGGATGAAAGACACGTTCATTGTTTAGGATTCAAATTCCTTTAGGGTACCCAGGCTAAAGTAGGTAGAGTGAAACTCGGAAGCGTGGGTTTAAATACTAATATCGAATTCCAACAAAAAAACTAATTAATTATGCTGTTTTCAAATCTTTAATTATTCCCATTTTTAATATTAGAACAAGACATAAACGAACAACACTGTTTTCAATTAGACCTTCAGCCTTTGCTCTGATTTACATAGATTGATATATAAAAATTTTCATCAATGACGATGATTTTGTGGATCGGTGGCACAGCGGTTAGGACTCTCTCCGACCATGCACATGGTCCGGGGTTCGACCCCCTGCCGACGCACACCTGATATCAATGGTCGGCCTGCAAAATTTGGGCCACTGATATCACATGTTGAAAATTCCATACTTGTACCAAAATACAGTGTGGAATCATCTGTAATAAAAAAATTATGTTGACAAAATGAATTGGCTTTTAACGGATGAAACGAAATTCCAAACGCTTAACAACCCACTAGATCTAAGCGGAAAAGCAGCCAACTAACACACACCTTAGGAACTGAGAAAAATTAAAGTAATATTAGAGACAGCCTACAATTGTCTTAAACCTACTGGAAGTAATTCACGATCGTACGGTCTGCCCAAAGTACATAAATCCGGACTTCCTCTTCGCCCAGTCGTAGATTTGTCTAATTCCCCCTGCCATGGAGTGGCGAGGTGAGATCCAACCGCAACACAAGAAGAAAGTAAATTATAGTGTTAAAGACGTTTTTGAATTCATTGCTAACGTACATTGTAAGTGGGAAGCAATTTCTCTCCTTAGATATCGCATCACTGTTTACCAGTGTACCACTTATGGAGGTTGTGGAATTCATATGCTAACGGATACTAAAATACGGTTCGGCATCGGAATTCCAGTTGTTAATCTGAAAGAGTTGCTTTTAAGATGTACTATAAATGTACACTTCACACTCAGCAACCTTTATTACAGACAAATCGACGGCATTGCCATGGGTTCTCCATTGGGGCCGATTTTGGCCAATTTCTTTCTTGCTAAGCTCGAAAATGGTCCGTCGAAACAAGTAATAGATAAAACTGATTCTTATTTTCGTTACGTTGATACGTTTATTATTCTTGATGTAAAAGCTCACGAGAATGAAATGTTGATAAAATGTAATGATGTACATCCATCACTCATCTTCACTGGTGAAGAAGAACATGATGGTAGACTGCACTTCCTTGATGTCCAGTTGAGCAGAAGATAGAATGGTTCACCCGAGAAAGATGTTTATGGAAAACCTACATCTAAAGGACAATATACACAGTTCGCTCTTGTACCAATCTTATACAAAACCAATTTGCTCATATGCCTCACTAAAACAGCAAGGAGGATCTGTACAGATGACTGCCTAGAAAATGAGTCAGGACACATCCAAAATAGACTGGTGCAAATGGGTTATCCTAGTAAATGTGTAAGGAGACACATGAAGAGGTAGCAAAACTAGCTGGGTTGGGTGACAACATAATAATAGTTATAAACCCAAAATTCAAAGGCGACACAACGACTGAAATTCCGCGAATTGAATCGTTGAGACCAGTTTAAAAACAGTCTACCTCATCTAGGCGTCTCACTTTCTTCATGCCAACTCTTATTCATCAAAATATCAAAGACAATTTTCCACTGTTGACCGTGCGCTGTACCAATAGGATACTGTGCCCAAACACATTCAAATATGGTTATCAAAAGGAAAAGTTAGACCAACTGACAGTCTAATTCTCCCATCCCAATCCTATTTCAGCTAACATTCCTCGACGACTTGGTATGTGTACCACATGTCTTTGCCATCTTAATCGATGCAGCTTCAAAGTCATCTACTGAAACATGTTTTAAATTTAGGCCTATTGTTATTACCTATCCTTTTCCAAAAACTATGGAAAAGTTACTCTTAAGAAATCCTCAACCTTCACCTAAAGCCTTTAACGATCTCGAACAATTCTCCTACAAACACAATAGAAGTACTTAGATGCAGTTGCAGTCTTGCATCATAAGATTGTCTCCAGTTTAGACAAGGGGCCTGAATTTGTTCGCTGCGCCTTCCTAGGTTACACATCTGCTTTCGACGCAGTACTTAGGGACATTTTGCTAAACAAGCTTGGTGAAACTCAAACTGACTGTTGGGTTGTCAAATGGCTGCATTCTTATTTCTCAGGAAGAAAGCAGTACACTGTATGTCAGGGAAAGTCGTCCACTTCTTTGCTTACTGAGGCTGTTGTCCCTCAAGGTGCTGTCCTTTCTCCTTTTCTGTTTTCTTTCTTCTTGCATGATTTGCCTCTCTCTGCTGATGAAATGAACTTAGTTAAGTATGCGGACGATCTAACTGTTTTAATGTCTGTTGACTCCCAGCTAGACTGTACTAAGATGAACGGCTCTCTATCAAGAGTTAGCAAATTGTCTTCATCTAATGATCTCAAACTAAATTTTTCCAAATGTCAGACTGTTAATTTCAGTTTCCGATGCAAACGAAAGTTAAATGAAGCTGTTGGTTCCTATGACCCTTGGAAAATTGATGACGCTGATATAGAAATCAAGTCTGAAGTTAAGTATCTTGGATTAATTCTTCTTCTGACCTATCCTGGTATTCCCACGTCTCAGCGATTTCTAAGAGAATATTTCGGCTGACTTTTAAAATCGAGAAGTTGAGGCACTCAGGCATAACTTAACCACTCCTCCTCTTCCAGTTTGTCAACTCGCTTATTTTACCTATTCTTCTTTACTGTTCACCCCTGCTTATTCTTTCCCGGATTACTTAATAAAGACTATGTCATGCTTCGTAGAACTTTGAAGACTGTCAGTAGAACGAGTGGTATTCCGTTGAGCCATATCGTTGATATTGTCACTGATGGGCACTTGATGTCATGCAACAAATTTACTAAAGGAATTTTGTCAGACTGTGAGCAACCACTTTACCGGCAGCTTTGACCTTGTGCCTCGCCAAGTAAAACAAGAAGTCTTTTCAGAAGACTTTATGCACGTACGTCTAAGTATAAAAATTCCACTACACCATATTTAGCACGTACTTTATGTGATGAAAATAGCGTTAGGCATGAACCACCTAACCTTCTTTGCATTAGTAAATAAACCATTTTTCCCATCCTTATTCCATCAAGCTTTATTGTTATTTTACTTCTTATATTTTTAATGCTCTCAATTTTTATCCCTCATAAGTGTAAACATCATTTAAGCTGTTTTATAACTGTTAATTTTGTCTTTTCATTCACCATACTATATCAACAGAACATCAGATTCAATAATCTATAACATGCTAACATTTCCGAACTGAATCGACAATACTGTTTGAAACAAACTTACTGTTATTATTATTATATTTATTATTCTCATTTTGTACTTCGAATATTTTTGACTGTATACCGTAAACGTGGACAAATTCCTCTGGTTAATTTTATTTTAAATTCGTTTATATTTTAACTA